GGCGGGCATCCGATCGTCGGAACGCGCTCGGAACTGGCGGAAATAGAGGCCTGCGCGGAGGGACAGCGTCTGAAAGTGGACTAGGTGTGTCCACCTGGCCCTCTATTCCGGGCAACTTTTGCCCTCTGTCAGGGTAGGTCCGGTAAGTTGCGGCCTCTGGGCAGGCCTCCGACCGTCGGAACGCTCTCAGAACGGGTGAAAACGGAGACCTGCGCAAAGGGACAGCGCCTCAAAGAGGACCAGGTTTGTGCGTCGCCCTGTTTTCCGGGTAATTTGGCCTCCCTGTCAGAGTCAGGCCGGGAAATCCGGGCCCTCGGGCGTGCCTCTGACTTTCGGAACGCACGCGATACAGGCAAGAAGGCAAGCCTGCGTGGAGGGACAGCGTCTCACAGAGGACTATGTGTGTCTGCATCACCCTCTTTTCGGGGCAACTTTTTCCCCTCTGTCAGGGTGGGGACGGGAAATCGCAGCGTCCGGGCGTGCATCCAAATGTGGAACGCGCTCGGAAAGGGCTGAAACAGATTCCTGCGTGGAGGGACAGCATCTGAAAGAAAACTAGGTGTGTCCACGTGGCCCTCTTTTTGGAGCAACTTTTGCCCCTCTGTCAGGGTGGGGACGGGAAGTCGCGTCCTCCGTGCCGGTGTCTGACCGTCGGAACGGGCTCGGAAGAGTCAGAAACGGAAGCCTGCGTGGAGGGACAGCGTCTGAAAGAGGACTAGGTGTGCCCGCGTGACCCTTTTTCGGGTCAACTTTTGCTCCTCTGTCAGAGTGGGGCCGGAAATCGTGGCCCCCAGGTGGGCCTCCGACTATCGGAACGTGCTCAAAATGGGCAGAAACAGAGGCCTGCGTGGAGGGAAAGCGCCTAAAAGAGGACCAGGTGCTCGCGTCGCCCTTTTATCCGGGCAACTTTTGCCTCTCTGTCAGGGTGGGGCTGGGAAATCGCAGCATCCAAACCTGCTTCCGAATGTGGAACAGGCTCGGAAATGGCGGAAACGGAGTCTTGCGCGGAGGGACACCATCTCAAAGAAGACTAGGTGTGTCCGTGTGGCCCACTTTTCGGGGCAAATTTCGCCCCTCTGTCAGAGTGGGGCGGGGAAATCGCAGCCCCCAGGCTGGCCTCCGACTGTCGGAATGCGCTCAGAATGGGCGGAAACGGAGGCCTGCGCGGAGGGACAGCGTCTCAAAGAGGACTAGGTGTGTCCGCGTCGCCCTGTTTTCGGGGCAAGTCTTGCCCCTCTGTCAGGGTGGTGCCGGGAAATCGCAGCCCCTGGGCAGGACTTCGACCATCGGAAAGTGCTCAGTATGGGCAGAAACGGAGTTCTGCGCGGAGGGACAGCGTCTCAAAGGGGACTAACTCTGTCCACGTGGCCCTCTTTTTGGGGAAACTTTTGGGCCTCTGTCAGGGTGGGGCCGGGAAATCACGGCCTCTGGCGGGCCTCCAACCGTTGGAAAGTGGTTGGAACGGGCAGAAACAGAGCCCTGTGCGGAGGACCGCGTCTCAAAGGGGACTAGGTGTGTCCGGGTCACCCTCTTTTTTGAAAAGTTTTGGGCCTCCATCAGGGTGGGGCCGGGAAATCGCGGCCTCCGGCCGGGCCTCCTAACATCGGAAAGTGCTCGGAACTGGTGGAAACGGAGTCCTGTGCGAGGGACAGCGTCTCAAAGGGGACTAGGTGGACGCGTTTCACCCTGATGCTAGACAACGTTTGCCCCACTGTCAGTGTGGGGCCGGGAAATCGCGGCCTCCGGGCAAGCCTCCGACCGTCGGAACGCGCTCAGAACGGGCAGAAACAGAGACCTGCGCGGAGGGACAGCGTCTCAAAGGGACTAGGTGTGTCCATGTCACCCCCTTTTTGGGAAACTTTTGGGCCTCTGTCAGGGTGGGGCCGGGAAATCGCGGCCTCCGGGCGGGCCTCTGACCATCAGAACGTCCTCAGAACGGGCGGAAACGGAGGCCTGTTCGGAGGGACAGCGTCTCCAAGGGGACTAGGTGGACGCGCGTCCCCCTGTTTTCGGGCAAAGTTTGCCCCACTGTCAGCGTGGGGCCGGGAAATCGCGGCCTCCGTGCAAGCCTCCGACCGTCGGAACACGCTCGGAATGGGCAGAAACGGAGGCCTACGTGGAGGGACAGCGTCTCAACGAGGAATATGTGTGTCCGCGTGGCCCTCTTTTCTGGGCAACTTTTGCCCCAATGTCAGAGTGCATCCGGGAAATCACGGCCTCTGGGCGGGACTCTGACTTTCAGAAATCGCTCGGACCGGGCAGTAATGGTTTCCCGCGCGGAGGGACAGCGTCTCCAAGAGGACTAGGTGCGTGCATCACCCTGTTTTCCTGGCAACTTTTGCCCCCCTGTCAGGGTGGAGCCAGGAAGTCGCGGCCTTGGGGCAGTCCTCCCACCGTCGGAACGCGCTCGGAATGGGTGGAAATGGAGACATGCGCGGAGGGACAGCGTCTACAAGAAGACGAGGTGCGCGCGCATCCCCCTGTTTTCAGGACAACTTTAGCCCCACTGTCAGCGTGGTGCCGGGAAATCTCTGCCTACGGTCGGGCTTCCGACCGTCGAAACACGCTCGGAACGGGTGGAAGCGGAGGCCTGCGCGGAGGGACAGCGTCTCAAAGAGGTCTAGGTGTATCCGCATCACCCTCTTTCCGGGGTAACTTTTCCCCCTCTGTCAGATTGGGGCCTGGAAAGCTAGGCCTCCGGGCGGGCCTCCGACCGTCGGAACGTGCTCGGAATGGGCGGAAGCGGAGGCCTGGGCGGGGGACAGCGTCTCAAAGATGACTAGGTGTTTCCGCGTCACCCTCTTTTCTGGGCAAGTTTGGTCCCACAGTCAGGGTGGGGATGGGAAATCGCGGCCTCCGGGCGGGCCTCCTACCATCGGAACGCACTCGGAACAGGCAGAAATGGAGACCTGCGTGGAGGGTCAGCGTCTCGAAGAGAAGTAAGTGCGCGTGCATGACCCCTTTTCAGGGCAACATTTGCCCCTCTGTCAGAGTGGGGCCGGGAAATCGCGGACTCCGGGCGGAACTCTGACCGTCGGAACGTGCTCAGAACCAGTGGAAACGGAGGCCCCCGCGGAGGGTCAGCGTCTCCAAGAGCACTAGGTGAGGGCACATCCCCCTCTTTTCGGGGCAACTGTTGTCCCTCTGTCAGGGTGGGCCGGGAAATTGCGACCTCCGGGCGGTTCTCCGACCGTCGGAACGTGCTCGGAACGGGCAGAAACAGAGGCCTGCGCGGAGGGAAAGCGTCCCAAAAGGGACTAAGTGTGTCCGGGTCACCCTTTTTTTGAGGAAAGTTGTGGGCCTCTGTCAGGGTTGGGTCGGGAAATCGCGGCCTCCAGGCGGGCCACTGACCATCGGAACGTGCTTGGAACGGGCGGAAACGGAGGCCTGTGTGAGGGACAGCGTCTCAAAGAGGACTATGTTTGTCCGCGTGCCCCTTTTTTCGGAGCAACTTTTGCCCCCCCGTCAGAGTGGGGCCGGGAAATCGCAGCCTCCGGGAGGGCCTCCGACCGTCGGAACGTTCTCGTAACGCGCGGAAACGGAGGCCTGCGTGAAGGAAAGCTTCTCAAAGAGGACTTGGTCCGCGCGCTTCGCCCTGTTTTCTGGGCATCTTTTGCCTCTATATCAGGGTCGGGCCAGGAAATCCTGGCCTTCAGGAAGGCCTCTGACCGTCGGAATGCACTCGGTATGGATGGAAATGGAAACCTGCGCGGAGGGACAGCGTCTCAAAGAGGAATATGTGTGTGCGCGTGGCCCTCACTTCAGAGCAACTTAAGCCCCTCTGGCAGAGTGGGGCCGGGAAATCGCGGCCTCCGGGAGGGCCTCCGACCGTCAGAACGGACTGAGAACAGGCAGAAACGGAGGACTGCGTGGAGGGACAGCGTCCTATTGTGGAGTAAGTGCGTGTACATGGCTCCTTTTCGCGGCAAGTTTTGCCCCTCTGTCAAGCTGGGGCCGGGAAATCACGGCCACCGGGCGGGCCTCCGACCATCGGAACGTGGTCTGAACGGGCGGAAAGGGATGCCTGCGTGAGGGACAGATGCTCAAAGAGGATTAGGTGTATCCGCGTGCCTCTCTTTTCGGGGGAACTCTTGCCCCTCTGTCAGGGTTGAGCCGGGAAATCGCGGCCTCTCGGCGGTCCTATGACCGTCGTAACGCACTCGGAACGGCGAAAACAGATTCCTGCGCGGANGAGAGAGAGAGAGAGAGAGAGAGAGAGAGAGAGAGAGAGAGAGAGAGCTGACCCTTATTCATAGACTGAAGAAAAATTATTTGATAACTTGCTAGGATCTTAGTCTGCATTTTTTAATTTTGTGAAAAGCTGTGAAAAATAAACTCTGTGATTTATTGATTTGTTTTGCTTGTTTTTTCAACAGTGGATAGACAGATTTATTTTCAAGACAAGTATGTTTTCTACCAGTTCTCAGCTGATGAGTGTACTTATTCACATATCCACATATTCTGTGAATATGAAGGAGCTGATGGATGGAAAAATGGTGTTAAACATTTACTGCAGCTGGTGCCTGTTATTCCTCCAAGGATTGATACATGTAATCTGTAAGTATATTATAAGTAACTACTCTTTCTTAATGATCTGCAGTGTTTGGATTATATTGGGGTGCTCAACACTTTCTCAATAATTGCATGTGAAGGTTATGGACTACACATGCCTGTCAGTCTGCACATCTATATACATATACATCCTGAAAATAAAAGATTGCAATAACTCCCATCTGGCTTTCCACATAACTGCAATTCAACCCTGTAGAATTGCAATCCCCAACAAGCAAAGCATTGCTGAATATATTGGTTCTTACAGTACTCCATTCCGTACTGGTAGATTCAAAAGGGATGTAGGCCTAGGGAATGTACATATCCATTAGTAGCTTGCATAGGCTACACTACCATGTTTCCCTAACCTTTAGTGGTCAGAATCTGTGGCAACAATGGATTCTCTGTCAAGTACACATGTACCAAAGGAGAAGGTGCATTCATTTTTATGGACCAATGAATCCCTGGCCTTGGCCGCCTTGAAGAGTGACAGCACAGGCAGTAGCATTTTTTTTTTCGGTTTTGCCATGCTTTTTTCATCACCACCCATGGCCACCGTCTAATCATCAGAGAAAAATGCATAACAGGCTTCCCCTGCCAATGCATGTGCCCCAAAGGCAAGGTGGAGTCTGATCCTTAAATCACTGATATACAAGGTACTTAAGTGTGGAGGAAATTGGTGGGAGCCTGTGCACCTCTGGCATTGTACAAGAGGTCAGTTGCCTACGTAATTCCTATAGTAATTCGTTGCTAATACTTTAAGGGACCTCTTGGATAAAAGCAAGGAAAAAATCAGGCTAGAAGGATACAGCTGTCTAATTATTTGTAGAGCGCAGTCATGTAGGATGCAAGTCATGCATTAGATGAGCTATACACTATTTGATACTTTGATGAAAACTCATTTATTTGTGTTTGGACTAATAATAATACTCTGAAGTGTTCACAAATGCAAAAGCAAGGGCAAATGGGTGGCAAAGTATGGTGTTGAAGAGAGATGAGGACAAGAACAAGTGGGGCAAGAGAAAGGGCTTAGGGATTCAAGAAGCTGAGTTGTGGGTGGCAAGGGGGTGCCCCAGTAATGGATCTTTTGAAGTTCATTTGAGACATAGGGCAGATGGCTTCTCCTGCTATAAAGGTTCCCTTACCTTCTATAGATATATAGTAGGGAAGAAAAAGACCTTCTAGATCTTGACCTGGAAGCCGGGAGGTGTTATTGAAAGGATGTGCCTTTCACAAGATGGTTTGGATCAGCTAGCCTAATCCACTAGAGAAGGAGGGTGTTTGGGCAAAGCTGGGGTTAGGCTAGCTTGCAGTTGGTTGAGTTAGTCTCCAATTATGGGTCTTGAGAGACTGGTAGGATGGGGATAAATCCTGGTTCAGCTTAGAGATTACCATTCTTCTTTGTTATTAGAATGAAAGAGTGTATTTCCTTCTGAAGTCTTCATATATGCCTCTGTAAAAGCAGCTAGGTTATAACAGAGGCTAGAAGAATAGATTCTTTGATTTTAGCAGCAGGTTTTCTTAATATGGCTATGCTTGAATAAAAGAAAAGCACTTGGTTGTAATGTCAAAAGTGCTTTAATTAGCTAGAATATGTCATACCTTGGTCATAATGTGCATCCACTTTGCTTTAAGTGCATTAGTCTAATTGGAGCAATTCCTGTTCCTCATCCTCACATGGCACTTCTGAGATGTTTTATATGTGTTTTAACGTTTTTTAAAAGGAACAATAGAAAAATAGAAGACACAACTGAAACCAATGCTGAGATTCTTGCTCGGCTCACTTCTGCGGTAAGTCTATGATAAGATCTTACTTTAATTGAAGTTATTTATTTGTGTCAGGTCGTAATCTCACATCACAGTTCTGATTCCCCATATGAGTCACAATCCAAAAGCAGCAAGTTAACATTGTAGGACATCCTAATATTCGCTTCTAAAGCATTTTCAGGGTAGCAATTAAAACAATAGTTTGCTGTTACATGCCATGAAGTTGAGTAATCTATATTAACATAAGAAAGAGCAGAACACTAAAACTTAGAGCTATTCTTTACTCATGCCCAAAAGGAGAGGAAGCAGTGACCAGACAAACTTCTCTTGGGAGAACATTTTGAAGACTGTACACACCACATCAGAGAGGTGTCCCTTGATTGTAATTGGCCTCACCTCAAACCTGAATGGTGATATCAGGAGTTATATTTATTGTCCAGAAAAATACTATATTACCAGCTACTGGACTGATATGTGCCACAGTCCTCTGTGGCTTAAATAAACGATCATGGGCTAATTTGATTGTGTGAACCAGATCAGTAAGAGTGATAATACTGAGGCAAACATTTAAATAGCCCAAGGAATGGGATTATGCTTATGCTACTGAGAGAATCATTTGAATATTCCTACCTGTTATAATTGGATTACCTTGCACAGCTGAGGGTAAACTGCTTGTAGAACAACCATTTTAAACACCGAGGACACAAATACATTCTTACTACAGTGAGCTATGCCAGATTTAACCTACTAATCAAATTATCCAACATATTTGCAGAAGTCTCAGAAAGCTTCTTGTCTACTATAACAAGAGTGAACATCCTCACTACTGGAAAGACAATGGCTCCACCTGTCTTGTGGCCACCATCAGAAAGAATTCAGGAAAAAAAGCAGGTCTCTCTGAGGCACAGGCAATGATACAGTTTGAAGAACATAATAACTCACATGTAAGAGCTGAGTATGGATTGTTGTTGAAACAAAGGTTATCATGTTGTCTGAACTCAGCCAAGATAACAAGCTGTGGTGAACAACCCAAAGTTCATACCCCAGCAACAGACAAAAGAGTTCTCTTCCTAGGTTGTTCACAGTTAACAAACCATGACTTGTTAGCATAGCTTGGTTCAGAAATCAGGATAACCCACACTTCAGTAACAACAACTATTGGGTTCATCGTAAACCCATTACTTAAGCTTGATCATGTCTGACCCATATAATTGCTTAGCTGGTGGGAATGTGTTTTTTGATCCTGAGGCAGTCCCTGCTAATGAACACGAAAGAATCATGCCCAATGACTTGTTGAAATAGACTGCAGTGGCATTACATGATCATTAACTGTCATTATTAATGCCAGAGAACCTCCTAAGTCATATGAAATTGGTGCGTCAACAACCTGCTCTGTTGTCATCCTATACCTTCTTCTCTGAGCTTTCCTTACCCCTGCTTTCTAGTTCTGGTGGATGAGTTGTGCAGACATTTGTCTGCTTTGTAATAAATTGCTGATGGAAGACTCTAATTCCTTTCCCTTGCTTGGTTTTTCTAATTTTTGTCATGGTGTTCCATGACATTAGGTAAAGGATCCCAGCTAGGACTGCTTCTTATAGGGGAATGGGCGAACAGGGCAACTGCCTTAGATGCCATATTCTGAGGGTACCAAAATGACATCCCTGGCAGTGTTTTTCTCTCCTGGTTGCTGCCAAAGAAAATATAGACTGATGGTCCAGATAGGAAAGAATAGAAGGCATCTATGGATTTTGAACTTTGATTTTCTTGACTGTTGCAGCACAAGGGATACTAGCAATGACCACAGAATGAACTCCACTTAATGCAAGATGGATTGTTTGGCAATGTTTAATTTGTCATCTATTTAGACTTCTTGGACATGGAACTAGGAGTCTTAAATCCATATGAAATGTCCAAGATCAATGTTTTCAACTTCCAAAAGGAACAAAGGCCTTTCTTTATCAGTGTTACATATAAAATAATTATTTGCCAAGTTAAACAGTGTATCAGTAATTGATAAATAAAATATTGATACAAATTGTAGCCACATAAACTAAAAACAAGATTAGGGAAGAACTTATGTATGTATGTGTGTGTGATGTAACTATATTATCACATGGCACAGTACTTCAAAGTACCAGAGGGGCATATTTTTTTGGTTTTTTCCCTGCTTGCTTCCCACAGGGATTCAGGGCACATAACCTTGCTTTTGGAAGTAGTTTCCCCCCTCAAAACAATAGTAGAAGTTACTTTTTCTTGATGATTCAGGCTAGAACCTGTCCGTAAAGGAAATGCATACTTGTTTGAAACAATGGAAGGGCAAGGGACTTTGCAGTGATAATAGCTTTGTTGAACAGTGCCAAGTTGGTCAGATTGCAGGAAGCAACTGCAGTGCAGACAGTTCACATTTGAATGCATCTGCAAGGCTACTAAAAGGGATCTGGCATTAGAAATACACACACTGGTTCTTTGTCAGTTGCACTGGCTTCTGATCCATTTCTGGGCCTGATTCAAATGATTAGTTTTGACATTTAGAACCTTTTATGACTTGTGACCACATTACATTAAGGATCATCTGTCTCTGAACATACCTTGACTTTGAGGTCTTTGTTGGAGGCTCTTTCCTTGTGCCCCTCCCAAATGAGATGTTCTGGGTGACTGTAGAAGCAAGGGACTTTTTGGTGGTGGCACCTCACTCGGAAATAACAATGAAAGAGATACTTGCTGGGCATGTTGGTTGATTCCTTCCAGTGATGTCCTTATGTTCTTAAGCCTTTGAATCAATCTTACCAGTCCACTTTTTTATCTCAGTTGTTTGTTTTGAAGATGCTTACAGTGTACATTTATCAGATTATCAAATCGTCCCATCTGGTTTGCTTCTTTGGGAATTCTTTTGAAAGGCAGTATATAAATATCCCAAATTCACAAACACATTGCATTAGTACCTTAGATTCTGTACTCTTCTGTATTTAGGCTGGAGCTGAGAAAAAATAAGCCACAGCTTTGCTCGTAGCGTACCTGCTGTGTGCTCTGCTTGCCCATCCTGGGGACAGAAAAACACAAAGCTCTAAAAATAGTGTTAAAACAGCAAATACATCCACAGTGTTCCTGGAAATACCAGCTGTGACAACCAGTTGGTGACTATGCCCACACACAGAGGGAGCAATTCCGTTGCCAGAGTGTGAGCTCTGAACCTCGTCTGGTTCAGCCAGCTCCCCATCTACCTCAAAGTCTGAGCTATCAGTCCCACCAAAACAGGCCGCTACTTGTGCGCACCTGGGAATCTTGCCAGAGCATGCACACATGACACTATTCCTGGACCTTCTTCACACCTGCCAGGAGAGAATGAGGCAGACACCAAAGAACCAAGAGCCATCACAGACACATAGAGAAAGTAACAGTCTTAAGTAGCTCATTCTGTAAGGCTCAGTGCTGGGAAGCATGACTCCATATAGAATGAGCTTCTGGTTCACACACTAGGGGGAGAAGGAGCAAATACGTTATGCCAGTAGGTGGGAAGATATTTGTATTGTGGGGAAAACAAGTTGTGGCTGAAACTTGAGCCCATATCATAAACCACAGGACAGTTTCTTAACTGTTTGGCTGCAGCAGCATGCAGGAATCAAGTGTTTCAGGGGGCATTCCTCTGCTCCCTGCATCTGAACTATGAAGCTGCAATATACAGCATTCCTGAAGTGGATGGAGGGGACACTTAGGAAACAGATGCAGCAGTCATTCCAGCATTCATTCGCCCTTCCCTTGCTCACCTTGTATGAGTTCTGCTGTCCTGTCACTCCCCATTCTTGTAGTGGAGTGGGTGTTCATGTCTGGAGTCCAGAGATGATGCTCAATTTGGTTGTTGAGCAGAGTAATATTGCAATGTTCTCAATGTTCTGTGTGCATTCTTGGGGCAGGCTGTTTGTATGGGAAGTGTCCCATCTCTGTAGTTTCCCATCACCCGAGTTCTCCTTTGTGAGTGAAATCTGTGCATGACATGGAGCCTGAGAGAGAGAGAGAGAGAGAGAGAGAGAGAGAGAGAGAGAGAGAGAGATGTCCCCATGCCATGTGCCCTTGGGTTTAAGTTACAGTCTCCTTATATGCATACCAGTGATTACATGCTATATCCTATGCTTTTTTGGGTGGAGTCTTGTCTCTCTGGGGGCAGCTTTTAATAATGTTTCTCCTGGTGGCCTGTTTCAGGTCCCCTTGATTTCAGATTTGGCAGTAGGGATTCTGCCAAATCCCTAAGTCTCATAATGGATGGATTTATGTATAGGATTTGTGCTCTAAAGGGGTACAACAACAACAATACATTAGAAGAAATCCATAAAAATCCAAAAAAAAAAAAAAAACGAAGTCAAAAGTGAATACATAATAGAAAAAAAGGAAAACAAATTTAGTATGTAACATGACAGGTAAAGAAGCAGTTACAAAAAAGTTGTGTACTACTCTACATTGCTTTGAATTCTAGTATTCTCTGAGGAAGGCTCCATTCTTTTCCAAATCTTGTCAAATAATTTTCCCCATATTTAGTACAAAAACACTGTAGAATTTTGTTCATTTTTGTTAGCTTCCAGGGCAAAATCTTCTTGGCATCAGTCTTGATAAAACTAAATTTTGCAAAGAAGAGCTGATACGCAAGCATGTTTAATGCAATAGCTTTCTGCAGCTATAAATTTTAAATGTATGGGGCTGCATTCAACACTGTGTGAGCACTTTCATTCCTTATTGCTCTCCATGCTGCTGACATGCGCTCCAGAAGTTCCCCAGCTGTTTGGAGCATGGGAAAATCCAACCTGCTGACCAATGCAATTAACAGGAACTGCTAGTTGGATTCAACATGCGATTTTATACAATTTTAATGCAACCTACTTTGCATTTGATTTTTCTTATGTACATTTGTAAAATAATGTATTTTGGATCCGCATTTAGGATCATACAACTGGGCTGATGGCAGCAGACTTTGCCATCCTCTGCTTCCTACAGTAGCTGATTCAGCCCCTGAAAGTACTACATAGAGAGTCAGA